CAGACATGCAAGAGATTATAAATTTGAAGAAAAAATTGTCGAAGAAGTTTGCAATTAAAGATCTGGGAGCTGCAAAGCAGATTATAGGGATGAGGATCAAGAGAGACACAAAGTCAGGGACTTTAATGTTATCACAGGCTGAGTACATTAACAAAGTACTTTCCAGGTTCAACATGCAAGATGTTAAACCAGTAAGTACATCTTTAGGTGTTCATTTTAGACTCTCCAAAGAACAGTCACCAAAGACGGAGGAAGAACGTGCACAGACGGTGAAGGTGTTGTATGCCTCAGCAATTAGAAGTCTGATGTATGCCATGGCTTGTACTATATCAGATATTGCTCAAGCAGTGGGAGCTGTTAGCAGGTACATAAATAATTCGGGCAAGGTACACTGAGAAGCAGTCAAATGGATCCTCAGATATCTGCGGGGTACCACAAACAAAGCACTTTGTTTCAAAGGTGGAGATACGATACTGACAGGCTATGTAGATGCTGACTTAGCCAGAAATGTTGACATCAAAAGGAGCACTACAAGGTATGTCTACACTCTAGGAGGAACCGCAGTGAGTTGGGTTTCTCAACTACAGAAGATAGTTGCTCTCTCCACAACTGAAACAGAATATGTCGCTGTTACAGAAGCCAATAAGGAGATGGTCTGGCTCCAAAGTTTCTTGGAAGAGTTAGGCAAGAAACAAGAAAACAATGTCTTATATTGCGACAGTCAAAGTGCTATCCATCTAGCAAAAAATTCGTCTTTTCATTCCAGGACGAAGCATATACAATTGAGATATCATTTTATTCAGTTTCTTCTGAAAGATGAGATTTTGAAACTTGAAAAGATTAGTGGAGCTCAAAATCCGACAGACATGTTAACAAAGACGGTGACCACGGACAAACTGAAGTTGTGTTCAGCTTCAGTTGGTATGCTAGAGTAACAATATCAGAAATGCTGATGCAGTGATCGAGGTGTGAAGACAGATTAAAATCAGTTTTCAAGTGGGAGATTGTTGATTTTTCAACAAATGGAGGCCACTTTCGTTGGCAGCAAAAATTGGTCAATTTAAGCTGCATATTTTGAAAATTTGGTAATGGTTAAATCATACATTTAGTCATTGTACTTTAGGGTATTTACAAGATTAGTCCTTAAGCTTCAACTATAAATACCCTAACCCATTTAGTTTTAAAATCATCCCAAAATCCCAAAAATCATTTCTTTCTTCTATTACTAGAGAGCTTTATTGTGAGTAGTGAGTGTTTTGTAAACACCTGTAAATTTTCTCTCTTAGTAAAAGATCTGCAGCAGTCCGGAGACGTAGGCAAAATTGGCTGAATTCCGTTATCAATTTCGGGTATTATTTTTCCGCTTTTATTTCGCAATCTCACTAATCTGGTTATAGGGAAATTACTCGTATTCGTTTTATTTCTCAACATAGTGCCCTGAACATTTGTTTGGAACATTTGATACAAATCTCTACCTCCATGAAAGATCTGTGTCGTGATGTTTTCGGAATGTCGAATGAGAAAAAAGATCTCAAGGAAGTGAAAGGAAACCGAGGTAGTTGTTCATTTTGACTTGCCATTGAATTGGCAACCATCTATGTATATGCTTTGATGCTACCATTTACAATACAATTTTAATATCATATGTTTTTTTTCTTCCAACACATAGGGAGTTATTTTCTCTAAAACTTACTTCGATCTGTCTGCAGAACTGCTAGATGTGTTGCCTGAGAAAAGAAAATTTGTTGATGGTGGTATTTATCCGATGATGGAGCAGAGGTAATATTGCAGCACCTATAAAACTAGTTTACTGAATGTTGGACGAAAATTGGTTTCATTGTTTTCTAGATATGAAGCATTGTGATTTGATTGTGAAACAATTTCAGTAACATTATTTTACAATTTAATCGGCTGTGTTGAACAAGTGCTGTGATTGATTTCATAAGAAATTATCATTTTCATAATCTGAATTAATGATGGGGCTTCTGTTATATAAATTTGAAGATTAAAATCTGTTAATGACTAAACTTTGCATACTCAGCATTTTAGGGAAGTTTTACTAAAAAGCTACCACAAATTTGTGATATTGTTCTTGAGAACAACATTAATTTATTCTCCTGTACATTAAGTACTATAGATCTAACGTGAGCAGCCTCTTGCAGTTTTCGAGTTACAAGCGACAAAAGAAAGCAGAGAAAGTTGCTTATGAAGAACGAAAATCGACTGTTCTGTCATCTAACAAGAACACAGAAGGTAATGGAAAAAAAATTCTCTATACACTGCAAAAGATGAACTCGAGGAGAACCGGCATAACTGATATTTTTATGCATTTTCTTCAGCTCCTTGCAAGCGGACCACTCGAACCAGTCTTAATATTGTCAAGGAAGTCTCAGAGACGGAGTTAGAGGCTGTATAGGAGACATGTATGTTGGCTTCATTTTAGTTTTTGTTGTTGTTTGAGCTGATCCTGCTGATGTTCATGATAGAAAAGAAAAACACAGTACGTAGAAATGGGTTGAAGTGCAACAGCTAAGATATTAGCCCATGCAAATTTTGCATGACATTGATATTGATATTTCAACGTTTAGCATAAGGTATTGTATTGTAGGATAATATATATATATATTTCTAAAAAGCTTTATATCATGAAAAATAATTTTGGGGTATGACGTATGAGTAATAGAAAAGGGTTTAAACATCATCTTCCAAACATCGTAAAATGTTTTCCAGAAAATATTTTTCAGAAAATGTAATTTATTTTACGGAAAATATTTTTCGAAAAACGTTTTTAGTGAAACAAACGGACCCATATATTTTTTTTATCTTTTCTATATAAAAGTTCAACTTCATTAATCACCTATGATAATTTATATGAGCATTATTATTGGAAATAATGATATTATTGTAAAATAAATTTTAGCATTGATTGAAAAATAATCAAACACACAAATAATTGAGAACTTTGACAGGGCTGTGGATAAATTATTGTATGGAAATAAAATCTTCTTGATTGGTGTGTAATTGACATAATCTATATAATTTTGTAGAAATTGCTAAAATAACATACACAAATTCAATAAACAAACACGTTTTTAATTTATAACTAAAAATTCGTAATTTTAGTAATAATACATCTAAAAATATGAAATAGTCTAAATATTAAAGTACATGTTGAAGACACATAATAATCCTGAATCAAACTGGACAACAGAAAAATTGAAGCACATACAAAAGTAACCTCTATTATTATTATATATATATATATATATATATTATAAACCTCTGACCTAACCCTTTCTTCCCAACGTGGATTTCTTATCTTTGCATTACTAACATGTATCAACACAGAATGATTTATAATTGACACATAAATATCAAAATTAACGATAACTATATTGGTCCAAAAAGAAGATTTGACATATTTGTGGACCCATGAGTACACTAAGTTATAATTTCAAGAATGGTGAGGGAAAGTTCAAAATCTCCCTGTGCTTGATTTTGGGTGCTCTAAACTCGTGAATCGTGAAGTGCAGCAGCTATGGGTTTGGAGATAACAATGGAAATGGTGGTGGGCAGTTTGATCCCCATCGTTGTGTACTGGGTTTATTCAGGACTCTACAGTGTTTTAGGGCACTTGTTCAACAATTATATGTTGCACCCCAAGGAAGATGAAGATAACAAGAATTTAGTATCCAAAGGAACAGTCATCAGAGGGGCGTCCTCCGTCAACAATTCTTGACCACCATCATAATGAATCTGTCGCATATGGTATGATCATACTCACATGAATCTTCTCTAACTATGGGTTATTGATTCATTTGTATTGGCATTCGCATTGATTCATGCAGGTGACAAGAGGAAACGTCGATGCCAGAACCGGAGCTTCGTCGGGGCAGTTGACTTCTCTTATCGTTATAACTCGGCAGATCGTCGTCTCACTGTTGGTTTACGATACCTACCAGTATTTCGTTCATAGATGCTTGCACCAGAACAAGTTCTTGTACAAACACTTGCACTCCAAGCATCATCGTCTGGTTGTTAACTATGCATACGGTGCTTTCTACAGTCATCCGATAGAAGGGTTTCTGTTCGCCATCGTCGGCAGTCCTTTAGCTGTTTACGTGTCGGGGATGTCACCGTTGACATTGACCTTTTTCTTGTCTATCTCCATCATGAAATCGGTGGATGACCATAGCGGATTTTGGATTTCCTGGAATTCCTTTCAGTTGTTTACGAACAATGTTGCGTATCATGATGTGCATCATCAGCTCTATGGTGGCAAATATAACTTCGCTCAACGTTCTTTCCATTTTGGGACAAAATCTTGGGGACATATATGAATTATAGGGTGGAGAAAAGAGAGGGAGGGGGCTTCCAATTGCTGCCTATAAAGCAGATCAAGGATTAATTGAGGCCAAAAATCACCGCTTGCTTTTGGGATTAGAGGTTTTCTTGGTTGCATGGTGTTCATATGGGAATATGAATCTTGCGAACTTGTAAATTTACTTATTGTTCACGAAGTTAGGAATAAAGCTTGGCCTTTCCGGAGAAAAATGAATCTAAAATCAATCGAATTCTTGATTCAATGACAAAGGACTTGTGTTCAAATCAACTTTTTTAGTTTTGCATAATTTTTTATGAAATTACGAATGGGTCTTAAACATGTTACTTTTGCATCTTTCTCCATATCATTACAATTACTTTCAGTTTCTTCAGCTTTTGGAGTTGCATGATAACATTTTAAGCCTCTCTCGAGATTCAATGACTTGTTTCACCTTCCAATTCCAAGAACCGGCCAACAACAATTTCCTTCCGATTTCATCGACATCTCCTTGGATGGCACTTCAAATAGGCCCAACACCCACAGATGATTTCATGGTAGGGAAAGTGAAAAGATCTTTCATTGCGGCTGTTGTTTTATCTCATCTTTTGCAATGAATTTATTTATGTATTTTAGGAACTACTCATTGACAGAAAAGAAAACGTGCATTAACTACTCCAATCAAACATTTTGCAAATACGACCAAAACTAAAATATAATGGAACCTTGGATGCGTATAAGCTTTTATAGCTGTCTATTCATAATTTAATACAAACGAGCCCACAGTGATCGATATCAATCCATAGTTTGTTACCGAAATTGCCTCCCTAACACCGGAACCAAGCAGCAAAACTTTCCAGGCCAGAAATTAATCGAATTCATGTTACGAACTTCGTGCAACAGAAAGCATCGGCAGCTCAGATCATGGCATAAGGTTTCCAAGTCTGCTCCCCATGGCCGATCACTGTGCGGCTGTTGAGTTTCCACCTGCAACCCAATATTGCTTAACAGCAACCAATATCTTCTCAGGAACTAAAGGGCCATCTTCATGGTCAACCATCTTAGTGTCCCACCTCATTCCTGCTGTTATCTTCTTCACTTTAATTAGAACATCTACCTCATCACGGAATATAACCGCACCTTCTGGACGCAAAATCCGGTCCATCTCCAAAAGAATGTCCTCAAGATTACATCTGCAAACATTGGATTGAATATGAAGTTCTAATGATAAGAAATGGGGTGTCAAATAGATCTAGGAAGGACGAAATCTTTACTTAACCATAGAAATTACAGACCATGGGAGTATGGCATAGAGCAAGCATTTGCAATTCGAATGTGACAATCATAGTAAAATGCAGTTAAATAGAGCAAAAGAAAGAGAACAAAATTCCTGGCTTTATTTGCAGCGTATAAGCAAAGTTAAAACAAATCACAGCTAAAAGTGAAATCACTAAAGCCAAAAAAAAAAGAATCCATATATATTAGAATGTTCAAAAGTAATGGAATGCACAATTTAACTAGGAATACTTACTTGTCCTGGTACAAACTAAAAAGACCATGGGCATGAATGAGATCATATGTCCTCGGGTATGTGGAGAAGGCCTCACACCTGAACCAGAGGAAGACACTCAAACCATGTTCAAGTTATGCCACCATATTAAGTGACCAAGAGTGGTCTAAGCTACAAAATATTGGTCTCGTTTCTTATATAGCTTAAATCTTGATCCTTTTTCTATGCTTGATCACTCTCGGGTTTCAAAATGATACATGCAAAGTAACTCCTTTTACCTCTCTCTCATTACCTATAAACTTCCCCATATACAAAAGAATATAGCATACAATTTTTAATACTAAAGGATGAGTATGAACAAAATTATTAATTCTCAAAAGTTCAGTAAGCCTTACCAGTCATGGTAGATGCCAATTAATCCACGTTCATATATGACACCCAGGGTATCTTTCTCTGCTATGGTGGGCATGACATTCATAACCCACAATTTGGAAGAGTCAAGGGCTGCAGCAAACCCTCCCAAACCAGCATTCAAGTCCAAAATATTACGATACCGACCAGAATCTATAAGCCTATTGATTTTCTTATAAGCATCAACGTGCTTCTTCCACTTCTGGTTGTCCTCTTGGTATGTCTCAACAGAAACTCCAGGAACACTTCCACTAGCAATTCTAGGAGGGACTGCATATAGTCTCTCTGGGAATGGCTTCAGTTTACCGCCAGCGACTTCTTCTGAGCTACTAACATCTGGATAAGGTGTAACACATGCATCCATTTTCTTGTACCTAGCAACCATCACAAGAGATTGATTAAAATGAAATTTAAGAACAAAAAGGAATTAGCTTACTGGGATCCAATGCAATGCCCATATAATATGAAGTGTAAGAATATATCACTTGGTTTTAGAACCCAGAAAGGAATGCAAATAGGTTTCAGATCCAACATATGGATCCCAGGCTTGCTTAAGAATAACAGTAGAGAATTAGTGCAGTTGGTTTAAAGGCTTAATGAAATTGCTAAACTGCTTGGTCTGTGATATAGGTTCCAAGTCATGAGACATGCATTCCAGGTTTTGACTTCTAATGCTTGCAGGGATGAGGCAGCGTATCATACAATTGACAAGATTAACTATGACATAAGTGAACAGGTGCGAAGCTAATTTGAACCCAAACTTAAACACTGCCAGAGCAGAGGCAATCTACTTCAGTGTAATTTTACCTTTCCAAAACTGTTCTTCTGTTTGTAACTTAACAAGGACGTCAAATACTGTTTTTATTGCAAATTGTAAGATTTTAAAAGTTTCAAGCACAATTCATACCAGACATCATTAGCTTCTCCAGCCTTGCAGAAACTAGAATCATCTCGTCTACCACGACAAGCTTCACCATTGACCCGCTTTTGCCAAATGGCAATTTCACCCTTCTCATGTTTCTTTTCCCAGCAAAGAAGTTTGGCAGCATCCTCAATCTTTTGTTGTTCCTCCTGAAGTTCCTTCTTGGGACGCTGCCATGATTTGTAATTGTTCCTCCAATTGATTGGTGGACCTGAAAGTACCCAGTAACCACCAGGTCTAAGAACACGGTCAACTTCTTTCATGTACATTCCATCTGCAAATAGAAAAAACCATAATGATGATCAGTCACTCAACTTCTGCTATACGGGTTCTCACTAAAGCAACACCTAAACGGACAAAATCTACTCAAAATACCAAGACTTTTTAAACTTAATAGAATATATGACTCACCATTTGCTCCCCATGGAATCAAGCAACGAGAACAGTGAGCCATATCAAAAGCTCTAGATGGATACGGCATCTTTATGGTTCCAAGAACGCCAATAACAGCAGGTACGCCTCTTTCAAGAGCAAACTGAACCTGTGCTTCATGTGAATCTCTAGGAGCAAACGACATGGCAATAACATTTCTACTCCAAAGGTATGCACCCCAGCTTGCAACCTACAAAAGATGACCAATTGTTAAACTCAGCAACAACATTGACCACAAGGCACTCCAAGAGTACAAGTAAACAGATCAATTGAAAAAACTTTCAAAAGCATGGCATACCCCACAACCAGTATCAAGTGCAGTCCTAACAGTCCCATTAGTAATCGGTATAACCGAAGCAAGCTGATCGATGTACTTGTCTGCCCCTTGGGGAAACTGCGTTCCTCCACCAGGGAACCTAAACACATTACCCTCATATTGGATCCAATTCTGAATAGCTTTCTCAACAGTCAAAGCCTTGTAAGGGGCATTAGCATAAGGCACATAGTCACGACTCTTAGGCCAAGGAAATGGGGTCACGTATCCTTTAGGTGCAGGGATAAGACAATGCAACTTCTCTTCCTCTCTCGGACAATGCCTCTCACGATAAATCATGTTGTCCCTGGGAAAAGTCATGGCGCGCCTTTGATCTTGGCAAGGCGTGTAATCAACGTAATTAGGGTGACAGGGCTCGAAAGATTTGGGCTTTTCGGATTCATCAACGTTACCAACTTCACCGGCGTGGTGGGTTTCAAAGTTCAAGTTCGGGACGATGTTGCAATCTGCACTATGTTTGGTCATTTCTAAAGCTATGCTATCCCCTTTACCGAAACCACCTCTTTGCCACGCTCCCAATATGTAGAAGAAACAACACAATCCGACAACAATGAATATTTGAATCGAACTCCTTGTTCTAGCGTCAGCTGAATTCAGTTTCAGTGCCATTTTCTTTTTTAAATATTAACTGCAACTAGTTCCCGAATTTCAGATCCATATAAAACAATAAAGCTAAATCTTTAATATCTAAATATGTATATAAAAACGAAGATCAGCGGATTTAACTTTGGTTTTACGCGAACTTAGTCAAGAGCTCGTTCGAGTAAATTCTTTCTTAAGAAAAAGAAGAGAAAATCTTTAAATCAGAAAAAAAAATAACGTCATGATGAATCAAAGGAAAAGTAATGTCAGATAACTCACCAATAGCATCAATGGTTCAAGATCACCAAATGGTCAACAAAATTGAATCTTTTAACGATGATGTGAGAAGTGGAGGGGATTCTTGTGGCAGTGAATGGAAGGAGACGTGTAAATAAAACACTGAAAAGAGAGCCCTAAACTTTCTCAATTATAGTTGAAAGAAAAAGAATCAAATATGATGATGAAGAAAATAAAGCACAAAGACGTTGTGCCCTGTATGTCGCCTTATTAATGGGGACTGGATTGCGATAAAGAGCTATAAAGAAATTCGAAAACGCAAATTTTTCTCTATCTTTGTCTGTCGTATTGCAGTTAAGTTCATAGCCGGATAATTTTAATATTTAAAGCTCCTAAATGTTATTTCCTAATTTTCAAAAATAAAAGCTTAATATTTTTAAAAAAATTAAAATAAATATAAGGTAATATATGTTTATAAAGTTTAGTAATTTAAATATGTATTATTTTCTATACTTTAGGGTTATTTTTATATTTCCTTATCTGTATAAATTCTAAAAAAATAATTTAATTTTCATGATATTAATATTATATTAATTAAATATTTTTTTATCAAACTCGTCAATAATTTAAATATTAAAAATTAAATTTAAATACAAATATATTTAAAGTACATAAGTCCAATTGTATTAAATATTTATTACATCAATCATGTAGATTTGATTTGTTCTAAAAATAAATTTAATAAATATTAATTAAATTATTTGTTTTTATTAATAAATTAAACTGTTTAGATGGTCATCCGATTCACATATTTTTTAAAACATTTCACATTAGATGTAAATAAGCAATTAATCCATAAACTAATAATTAAACTAATGAAACAAAACTTTAGGTGACACTTTAAGAGTTCAGCTATAACGTTTCAAATTTTACGATCAATTTATAATCAGACAATAATTTGAGGATATTTAGTGGAATTAACCCCATCTTTTTCTTCGATTCTGCATGGATGCGCGTCGAGAGGAGGAGTGGCAGACAGGCGCGAGAAAAGATGAGGAGATGGACTGAAAGAATGGGCGATTTTATAAAATTGACACCATTTAACCGAATATTTCTGTTTTTAGCACCGTTTATTTTATATTTCTAGAAGTGACACTCTTTCGGTTAAGGTAGCGAAAGACGCATCCCGGGGACGTGTTTTACCTGGTTTTACGCTGAGTTAGATGTCACGTGTGAAAGACGCATCCCGGGAACGCGCTTTACCTGATTTTGCTGATTCAGTTGCCACATGGTATTTTTTTTAATAATAAAATTTTATTTTTATTGTTATTATAAATTAGTAATATATTATGTAAATTATTTAAGTTATAATTTAATAATTATCGAATGTATTTTTTTAATATGTGTTAAAGGTGGAGTGTATTATCCACATTAATCGAATAGAACAACAGATGAAAACTAGTTTTTATTTTATTGTAGTTATATGAAAAATGTATAAAATTATTATATTACACGTATGGTTTTATTATTATTTTTTATTTTGATTATCGATCTATTAATTTTATCACTTAATTATTTAAATATTATCAATCTAGTCATCTGTTATTATTATTTAACCAAAATATTGATACATAAGTTAATAAAATTAGTATAATTACACATTTAATCTATTATTATTATTATACATTGAGAAATTATAGAAAATGCAATTACATTTAAATATTAGAAACAAAAACATTCATTTAAATAGAATATTATGTTACATAAGGGTTAACAGTTATGTGAAAATAATAGAGCTTGACATTTTTTTCTATTGTGTCCGATGTTTCTACAATGCCCACATCGTTTTTGTTCTGTTGACTTCTCCCGAATATCCATATCACAATGTATTCTAGTAGTTTTTGGACGGCATGAGTCCCTCAATAGCAATGGATCTGGTACAATTGTAAGCCAAGTTTGAATCTCATCTGGGTCTATTTCGTTTCCTATGGGCGGAAACTCAAATATGAAGTGATAAGTTTATTGTGACATTGAAATTGTATGGAATGAGCATCGACATGTTTTTACGAACAAATGTGAAGTGATAAGTTGATTTTAATGTATACGTTTTAATATATATGTTAATGATAAAATCATATGTATGGATAAATTTAATTTCAATTTAAGTATTGTGAACTATAATTGGAATATAACTTTTAATTTCGAATACAATTGGAATATTAACTTGAATTTAATATTAAATTTCGAATACTATAATTTATATTTTAAATTTAAATTTTGAATAATATTATTTGTATTTTAATTTTAAATTCTGAATACTATAATTTGTATTTTAAAAACATTTATTAAACATTTAATGTAAATTTGAATAAAAATAACATTAAAAATATTGGCAGTAACAACCATGAAACATTTAAATAACATAACCAAATTACATAAATTTCTGAAAATATAACTATTTAAATAATATTAAAATACGACTGGATCACCGATGTCGTCTTCTCGAATGAGTTCCACATGGCGGTGGTTGTCTATTTCGTGGAGGATTTCTTCGTGGAACTTGTTCTTCAGTCTCCTCATCTTCACTATCATCATCATCGGCATTTTCTTCATTTGGCGTAGATGACGCTGAAGGGGCTGAAGGGCCTGTATAAAATAACGACCCTGGAGCAGTGCTAGTAACCATCCCACTGCTCCCCGGGAACTGTGAAAACTGTGGAAATATTGGCATCGATGTCTGTGATCCATATGGAGATTGAGGTGTCTGAGGAGAAGCACCACCAGCCAAATAAGATGCATATGAACCATATACTAGATCATTAAACATAGTCGTATATGCACCTCCATATGGTATAAAACCCTGTGGGCTAGACATGTAACCTGGCGAGCTAAGAATGTAACCCTGCGGACTAGGAATGTAACCGTGCGGAGATGACATATGAACTGGTGGGCTTGGCATATACCCCTGAGGAGATTGCATCTGAAGTGGAGGGATGGACATGTACCATTGTGGCATCGGTGGATAAGGATGTTGTGGTGGGACTGATGCAGAACCGGTAGCACATTCTTTCCGTCTATGCGTTGGGGGACGATGATATCGAGACGGTTGACATCTTTCTCGGCGCCTAGGAATGCTAACCCCTCGTGCTTCCGCTAAAAGTAGAAACGACTTCCCATTTTCATTAAACCAGTCCATATAGTTATCCGTAACCATATGACCAGTTTCAGTGTAATATTGTCGAGGGGCCAACTGTTCATACCGGTTCTCCCAAAGCGCAATACAATATTTGTGTCTCACCACCCAGTTAACATCTTTTTTCCTCGTCTATCTATATTATGCACGTCGTCTAAATTCCTAGGTGCTCCAGGAATATATTGCGTACAACCATACTGACGGAGCACGCGATCAACTGGATGCCACTCAATAATAGCATAACATATAAGAGGTATAACCGATATCCAAACCTCTAATGACCCACCAAGGTGGGGTGGGATGCAAGCCTTCACTTCATCGCTTGCATAAGGTATCCATTGAAACTGAAATATAAATATACAATTCAAATAAATAAAATATTCTAATTATATCTAGCATTTTAAATTAAAATATTAATATTTAAACAGGTGTAAAAACATACCTCAGACCCAGCTTTTGTATTAATAAGTAGACGAATTTCCTCTAACATAGTAGGTATACTTCTATGGTTATTTCTTTTCATTGACCACCTATGAAATATAATATAAACTAAATATCACCCTATTTAATTAAAAATATTTAAATCAAAATTTAGTTCGATAATTACCTCAACAATAAGGGGAATACGTATGATCCGTTCACGATCGGGCATAAGAAAGGCATGTGGAACCACGCCCATGATTACAGAAGCAGGAGACATCCACCGATAGCAGTTTTCTTATAATTCGTCGCCCGACACATTTCTCTAAAGAGAAATGCCAAAACTGCAACGCCCCAACTATATCTTCCAGCTTCATCAAAATTGATCAGATGCCGTAACCACATACAATGCACCTGGTTGCGAGATTTGTCGGACGTCAATATTCCTCCAATTATTCGTAGAATATATGCCCGAGCACATGCATTTGTTTGATCCTCTGAAGCATTTTCATTTAAAACCTCAAAATTAGCTTTTAACCAAGATAAAGCTATTATACCTCCATTAAACTCTGGCGGAGCAGCTCCAAGATAATCAATGCACATTGACTGTCAATCACCATCCGCCATACCACACATCATATTTCCGTCGACGGGAAACCTCAGATGCATAGAGACATCCTCCAATGTACACATTTCTCTAAAGAGAAATGCCAAAACTGCAACGCCCCAACTATATCTTCCAGCTTCATCAAAATTGATCAGATGCCGTAACCACATACAATGCACCTGGTTGCGAGATTTGTCGGACATCAATATTCCTCCAATTATTCGTAGAATATATGCCCGAGCACATGCATTTGTTTGATCCTCTGAAGCATTTTCATTTAAAACCTCAAAATTAGCTTTCAACCAAGATAAAGCTATTATACATCCATTAAACTCTGGCGGAGCAGCTCCAAGATAATCAATGCATATTGACTGTCAATCACCATCCGTCATACCACACATCATATTTCCGTCGACGGGAAACCTCAGATGCATAGAGACATCCTCCAATGTAATTGTAGCATCTCCACATGGAAGGTGAAAAGTGTGTGTCTCGGGCCTTCACCTCTCAATCAATGCAGAAATTAGGACATGTTCGAGTTTGCAACCGCCAATAATTGTTGCAATATATCCGAACCCGGTAGAAACCAAATATGGCAAAATACGTTCCGGTGTCGGTATACGTAGATTTTTAATAAATGTCTCTAAAATACGATCAGTATCTTAAATAATATGCATTATAAAAAATTAAAATTAATATAAATTCATAATAAATTTAAATTAAACATAACAATAATTATTAACATTAATTATAAAAAAATATTACCATATCGCTAAAATGTCTGGAGATATGGTCAGCATCCAATCGCAGTAACATTTCACTTTACATTATAACTGTAGACAAAAAAATAATTAGCACAAAAAATAATTAATTAATAAATTTAAATAAATAATAATTATATAAATATTATTTTAATAAAAAATAATATTTATATAATTATATTAATATAAAATATAATAACTATTTAAGAAAATAATAATTGAAAAATAAATTTCTTACCACTAATAATAAAATTAAAACTCAAAGATTTGGCGAATTTGAATTATATGAAAGGAGAAGATGATTTTGGTGTGAAGAATGAGGGGGTTGAGGGGGTTTATATAGGGAGAGGAGGATGAGTAGTTGAGAAAAAATCAGATGGTCATTTAAGACATTTAATGAAAGGCGCGTCCCCGGAGATGTGCCTTTCACACGTGGCAACTGAATCAACAAAATAAAGGTAAAACGCGTCCTCGGGGATGCGTCTTTCACACGTAACATCAAACTCAACGTAAAACCAAGCAAAACGCGTCTCTGATGCACCTTTCACCACCTCAACCGAAAGGGTATTATTTCGGAAAATATAGAACAAATAGTGTTAAAAAAATATTCGGTTAAAGGTGTGGTCAAATCGTCGAAAGAATGAGGCGGTGGGTCCCACATCCATGTCGGGAGGATCGTTGCAAAAGGCGATGATTGATGATGGACGATCAAAATTAATGGGAGAGTAGCCTTAGAAAGATGGGAAGGGACAAAGCTGTCGGTCCTGATCAAATTCCTATCACTGTGTGGTTGGCCCTAGGAGAAGAGGGAGTTAAGTGGTTGACCAACATCTTTAATATTATTCTAGAGACTGCCAAGATGCCAGAGGAGTGGAGAGAGTCTACGGTGATACCAATCTATAAAAATAAAGGAGATCCCCAACGTTGTGGTAACTACAGAGGTATTAAACTCCTCAGCCATACCATGAAGCTATGGGAAAGGGTGATAGAGGCTAGGTTGAGACAAGTTACTAGGGTTTCGGAAAACCAATTTGGCTTTATGCCAGGCAGGTCTACCACGGAGGCGATTCATCTACTTCGACGGCTTATGGAGAAATATAGGGAAAAGTCTAGAGATCTTCACATGGCGTTCATTGACCTTGAGAAGGCTTATGATAGTGTTCCCCGCGATACGATCTGGAAGACTTTGGAAACGAGACGGATCCCAACTGCGTATATCCGGGCGATTCGTGATATGTACTGTAGATCTACTACTTACGTCAGGACTACAGTTGGCGACACCGAGGCATTCCCGGTGGAAATCGGACTCCACCAGGGGTCGGCTCTTAGCCCTTACATCTTCGCCTTGATCATGGACGACATCTATTGTGCGACACCAGACGGTGTACCATGGTGTATGCTTTTCGCTGACGACATTGTCTTAGTTGCTGAAACAAAATCTGAGTTGAATAGTAGACTGGCTACCTGGAAGACTGCTTTGGAAGAAAAAGGTTTAAGGATCAATATTGAAAAGACAGAGTATTTATGTTCAAACTTCAATGGGAACCAAAACGATGAAGATGTAGAAGTATGCATAGAAGGACACGTTCTCCCCTCAAAGGATTGTTTCAAGTACCTAGGGTCTATGATACATAAAGATGGGGGTGTAGATGATGACGTTACACACCGTATAAAGGCGGGATGGCTAAAGTGGAGGGCCGCTACTGGAGTTCTGTGTGACAAGAAGGTCCCTCTAAAACTTAAGGGAAAATTTTATAGAATGGCAATAAGACCAGCGCTGTTGTATGGATCAGAATGTTGGGCAACCAAGAAGGATCACGTAAGGAGGATTGAGGCCGCAGAAATGAGAATGCTTCGATGGACATGTGGTAAGACTCTGAGGGATATGACGACAAACTCTGCTATTAGGATGTCCTTGGGGGTGGTGTCTGTTTCCGAAAAATTGAGGGAGGGAAGACTACGGTGGTTTGGGCATGTCCTTAGGCGACTATCGTCGGATGCGGTAAGGAGGGTAGAGTCGATTACAGTCGACGGTGCCAGAAGGAAAGGACGACCAAGGCGAAAGTGGGAAGACTGCTTGAGATCTGATTTGAGGGATTTAGCCCTTACCGAAGACATGACCTCTGATAGGAAAATATGGAGGCTAAAGACTAGGGTAGTCGAGTAGTGTGGGTCACATCTATAGGGTGTATCATCTCTGTCTTCTTTTAATGTCTTTGTAGTATTTTCCATGACTTATACTTTTTATACGTTTCTGTTATTGGTATTTATGAAGGATTAGAACTGGGCTTGCTAACGTTGACTTCTGTGTATCATTCTCTTCATGTTTCCTCTTTTAAATTTAGCCGGATCTTATCTTATGTTTATGTCTATATGCAGAGATTCTTTCGCAGGGATAATTATGCAGGGATTAATTCCTGTTACAGACGCACATATGATTTTAATAACTGCATATGAATACTGTTTAGCTATGTATTTATGTATTTATTTATACATGCATTGCATTGTATCTAAATTTTTAATTTTCTGACTGCCGGAGGTCTTCCACGGAAGTTACTCTCAACCTGGCGTTGGGGGTAGCCTACTACCCTACCTCCCCCTTACCCCATATCATATGGGAATTGGGTTTTGTTGTTGTTGTTGTTGTGTAGCCTTAGAGCGTCGGATGAACGAGTGACGCACGCGCATCGAGTGGCGTGGGTGCAAAAGATGAACAAATACGGTGGCAGCAGGAAGTCGATTACGACGTAGATTTAACAAGTTCATAACAGTATGGAAGTGGTTCGGTTTGAGCTATAAAAAAAGTTGACATGTGGGGGCAAACATTTGAAGTAATTGAGAAACGAGATGGTGTAGGGACATGGGAAAGAAAGGGTAATTATTGCTTACCAAACTCTTTTAACTAAGCTTTACCTTTTGGGTTTATTTTAGCAAGTATTAAATCTCACATGAGTTTTTATTACTTCTCTACCCTTATTGATGTATCAAGATCCTATATTTCGTATGAGAAAATCTTTTTTGTTGGAGTTATTTTCTGTACATATTTTAAAAGGTTTTTAAAAGCAAAATATTTATTTATGAGGATCAAACTCTGAAAACTAAGAATACGGGGGATAAAGTAGTAAATTAAGAGACATGAAGAAATGATTCACTGACAAAGCTGTTCCACGATAGAGAACTGGCCCCATTACTTTTGAAAGTGTCAAACTGGGTAAGGTGTTGCCTACATGATTACATGATGCTATTGGTCAGCTTTTTTTTTTTAGTAATTTGCCCATATTTGTGTTTATTTAGATATTCATAGATTAGATTCTGTATTTTTTTTTAAATTAATTTGGCTGTCCTTTTGCAGGTTTGAGACTTTAGATCAGATCAGGGAGCTCATCTGCTTGGATTTAGATAAGGAACATAAGCTTCTTTACTTATTTATTTTCTATTTCAGTACATTGAATTTACCCCTTGATTTGATTAAGACCTTTAGTAAGAGCATTGACCCCTTGATTACATGGGAGAATAACAATTTTAGTCCATATGGACTGTGGCGCTTGTATGTGATAATTCCTCCATTCCTTGAACGATATTTGTTTGGTTTTTAGCTTCCCCAGATCAAAGAAAATTACATAATAATGTTATGCAGCCTTCATTTGCTGCTACAAAGTCAGACTTCATGTGCGTTGTCGGTTCATTATAGATGACAAATTCAACACCATTTGCTTAGATAGATCACACGAGTTGGAGAATCCGAAGAATGGAATTGAAATTGTCTTGGGCCCAATCCAATTGGAATGGGTTTGGAGCAAATGTCTGGTTTAAACCATAGTACCAGTAACCTTATCCTCTACTTGGCGAGAGC